AAAAGCCCCTTAGCCCGTTGTGACCACAAGCTGAGGCTAAGTGCTTTAGATCCCTTTCCCTATCCAAGTGTAAAGCAAGTCTCGGAGAAGTCCTTGGGTGATGCCACCCGCAGCACAGGTGCAGAGGATGCTGCTGCAGCCCTGGGATACAGCACAGCCATGATCGAAAGAACACATTTATGTTCTTGCTTGCAGACAGGCTTGGATGCTGCGGTAGCCACTTGCAATGACAGCATCTTCCACCAGCGAGGACACGTGCAGAGCTCTCCTCCCACCCAGGGCGGGCAGAGGAGGGGATGTCCTGCTTGGTCTCCCAGGCCTGCATGGGGCAGCTCCCACCTACGGCTTCTGGTGCTCATGCTCAAGGCTGGCTGGGACATTTCTGCATGACACCATTTCTGTGCTGACGCTCAGAGGGCCACTCTGGTTGGAGATCTCCTGGCAGAGCCTCTCGCTTGGGCATTCCTGAATTCCTGCCCTCTCTCCCTAGGCCTGCAATCTCAYAGCAAACAGCTCCTCGCCTTTTCCATCCCTTCCCCGTCTGCAGGCGTCGCTCGAGCCAGCCCCCGAGCTCCGGAGCGTGGGGCAGCTGGGGGTGCCAGACGCTCGCCTTGCAGATTTACGGTCGGCGGGAACAGCTTCCATGTGTGCGCGAGCTCCACTGGACCGGCYCCCTCTCCCCACCCTTGGTTGCTCGCAGGCTCGCCGAGCACGCGCGCTCGCTCCGCGCTGCACAGCCGCCGCACGCGGCCCGCAGCGCAGCCCCGGGCTCCACGGCGGGGGACGCAGCAGCCCAGTCCCGGTCCTGGTCCCGCCGCGGCGGTTTGGCTGCCTGTGCCCCGCGGTGCAGATGTGCCGGAGCAGGCGGCGCCGGGACACAGCTCCGACACGGCTGCAATGAGCGGAGGCCCTGGGCAAGCCGGCTCGGCTGGCGAGCGTGCCAGGGAGTGTGCACGTGTGGGCGCCCAACCCAACACCAGCAGCCCRCAACTCTCCCACCTAAGTGCTAAGCCCTCCTGGGCTAAGCAAAGGAGGTGAAAAAGCACCAGCCGCTTCCCAAAGCACTGTCAGACCCGTGCACTGCTGCCACGGATGCTCAAGGATGCCTTCAATTCAATTCAAATACGGTTTGGCTGGCTTTCACTGCCACAACTGAGACAGGCTCTGCCATCACTACAGCCTTCTATTCTTCCGGGTCTTTTTCCAGCCCCCATATACCTAGTGCTTGTTATGCTTGGCTGTAGAAAGGAAGTTTTAGCATCTACCTAACACMGGAGGGACTGAATGTCTCAGGATCTACAGTCTCATCTGGCAGAAGAAGGTCCAAGAGGACCCACAGTTACCAGATGCAAGTGTGGATTTCAGCTTTGACCTTTCCATGGGTTGTGTTGTGTTGGCCCTGCCTAGAAACAAGCCCACATTTTACCACCTGTAGATATATCCTTGCAGTCCTTTTCCTCTGCGCATTAAGGGARCAGAAATCACTCTCAAGAATGGATATAAAAGAAGGCAGCCCCAGAGGGAAGCTCATTTAAAAAGGTGTTTAACACACTCAAACCATCTGAAGAGAGGGCTCACAAATACCTGGGAGGCTCTCCAATAAAATAAAAGCATTGCAATGTTCTGGACTGCTTCAGAATGACACTGGGCTACATGGGACATGTGCTATGCACACACCATGCTTGAAACGAGCCTCTTCCAAAGGCCACTCAGGAATTTCAAATGCCTTCTGAAGGGTGAATGTCACTGCTGCTTCTCCCCTCGTTTCCTGCACTCCCCATTTCCACAGGCGCGTGCAGATGCATACGGGCAGACTGAGTTATGTGGCAGAGGGTCTGTTTTTGATGGGCTTCTCGATCACAAGTCATGCAGTAAAGTCCCAGCTATTATACAACTGGCTACCCTAACTGCTCAAGGAGAAAAAAGCACTCCAACAATGCATGAAAAATTTACTTCCATATAACAAGGCATTAAACCACTTGAGATTAGTTGCTTTAAGGCTGGCGGCAGCACTTGCTCTCCCCAGTCTGACTTAGTCCATACCCAGGCCGGAGAACATCATGCCACCCAGTTTCTCCTGCATCGCTCCCCATTAGCCCAGCGAGAGGAGCACATTTCCCCTGGAGCGGACAAGCAAAATGTGCCGCTCAGTTTGGAGCACAGGCGAAGAGACAGCCTGTCTTGAACACCGTGTTCAGGAAAAGGGGGAACAGGCAATTCTGGCAGCTAGGTCAGGCATCCCAAGCTGCTCCCATCATCTTGTAGTAAATGGCTGTATCTGGGCACAGAGGCGGTGTCTCTTGCAAGACACCCCAAAAACCCCAAGATAAACTTAGCCTATGTGTGTAAAACCCAGAAGAAATTTGGGTGCTTCCCTAATTTTAATCTGTAGCACTAGAGCTTCTCCGCAGTGTCCTTCCCGGAGACCGCACTGGGGAGCGGGCGGCATCGCAGCACGGGGCTGTCGCGGTGCGACTGCGGGTCACAGGGATGAGGGGGACACGTGGGGAGGGGACTCAGCCTAAAGCTCGTCCTTCATGCCCTAACAGCACCTTTGCCTGGAAGCTGCTATTCCCAGTTCTCCTGCATATTCCACCAAAGCGGCCAGGGTCTAGAAGTGTGTCTGCAGGTCAGGGCTCATCCTCAGAAAACACAAACCGAGTCTGGCTGGGCTGGCCAGGCCTGTGTCCCCGGCTGGGTCTGCGTCCCTGGTGCTGCCTGGAGGAGCCCGAGCGCAGAGCGAGCTTTGCGCTCTGCCCGCCGGCTCTCCAGCATTTCTCATGGTCCACAACGTGGCCCAGGACAGCAAGCTTCGCTCGGCTGTAACAGCCCCAGGCGGTTATCTTCCTGCTCCTTCCCCTTTACACAAGAGCCCCGTCCCCACACCACACTGCTGGGGCAGAGGCCGAGCACAGCACTGCGGCTCCCGCAGTCCTCCCGCTCCGAGCAGAAGAGCCGGGAGGCCCGGGAGCAGCACCACGGAGCTTGCCTCAATTCCCGTGAGCCCGAGTGGGAGCAGCACCACGGAGCTCTGCTCGATTCCCACGAGCCTGAACGGGAGCAGCACCACAGAGCTCGGCTTGATTCCCGCGAGCCCGAGTGGGAGCAGCACCACGGAGCTCGGCTCGATTCCCACGAGCCTGAGACCCGCTCTGCTCACACACGGAGAGCGGGGCCGGCAGGAGCAGAGGCAGGGCTGCCGCGGGGAGCCCGCTCCCGGCTCCGGGATGAGCTGCCAGCTGGAGCGGCGACGGATCCCGCGGCGCCGCAGCCCCGCTCTTGGCAGCCAGCTGACTCGCGCCCCCGCCGCGTGTGGAAAACTCTTTGTCGCGGCAGCTAATGAGCAGATTGGATTTCAGAGCGCCCGGCGCAGGTACATTTGGGGGCTTTCATCTCCCTGATAGCTCCCACGGGAAAAGAGCGGCTGCTGCACCTCCCGCCAGGTCACGGGCTGGTCTTGCTGGGCTGTTTCATGTTCGCAGCTTTTAAGCCCTCCAGCAATTTGCACCTGCCTAGGGCTCTTTTAAGCTGGAGGAGGGGAGAGCAATGTGTTTTAARAGTGCACATCAGAGTCCATGCAGGAACATGATACTGGAGCATGGAAAAGAAATCAATGCTCAGGCATTTGGGAGAGTGAGGAAACTGTTATGAGAGGGAGTGGTGTCTAATTTATTAGATRAATTATCTTTAAAACAACCGTACAATCCATTTTAAAGACCTTGACAGTCTTTAACAGTCCTGGACCTCCTCTCCTGGCCTCSGTCCTGCTCATAACTTCCAGGCCTGCACTTGGCGCAGGAGTTAGTGGCAGGTATGGGAGGGCTGGCCAGGGGCCACCCACCACCTGCTGCCCCCCACTCACTGCGAGCAGGGTCTGGATGATGTGAGGAACCTGGGACAGCCCCAAGCCCCTGGGGATGGGGAGGATGTGGCTTGGCCAGAGCAACTCACTCTTCAGAAGAAGAATCCCACCAAGTATTCGCTCAAGGCTCAGATGCCTTTCAAATGAAGTTCAAGACCCACCAACTCCCATGAGCACGTAGCCTAGGGCAGTATTTGCACAGGGATGCCTAAGGAGCAGCCCAGGGCTCCCCGATGGATGGGCACCTGGCTGTCCAGGGATACCTGGAGCAGCCCAGGCAGGGGACCATGCACTCCTGCTTAGGGATTTGCTCTCTGAAGCCAACCACAAGGCAGGGGTGGGAGCTGAAAGCAGACCCAGTGTCCAAGACACTTCCAAGATCCTCCCCTGATGCTCAGTGCCGCTGTCACATTAGGGGTGCTATTTGCCCTGGCCCCATGGGTAGGAGACAAGGGTGAAACGCAGCTCTCTGAGGCTCTGACCCTTTGTGGTCGCTCTCCAAGAACCCAGGACAACRTAAAAATCCAGGTTTTTCCTAGCAGGGCTGCCTTATCAAGTGCACATCTCTCTGACACCGCTCCCCGTGCGATTCTCAGATCTCCGTTACACTCTCCCAGGCTGGCTGACAGGGTCTGCCTGCCGCTGCCCTGACACCCCCGCACCCCTCCACTCAGCCGCGTTCTCCACTTACAAGGGGGAGAATTTACTAGACAAAAAAAAAAAAAAAAGAAAAAGAGGATGAAAGGGAACCTGCTACTTTTAAAGCAGTTCTCCATACGGTTTCCTTGTTAGCCCGCCGTATGCAGGAGCCACCAAGCCCCCGGTGCTACTATTCCTGCTTAGAGCCAGCTCCAGCTTTGGAGGTAATGCCCTCCCATCTGCCTTCAACATGTTGCACTTGACATTAACTAATGYCTCCTATTAACATCCAAAGAAGCGGATCTGGAAAAATTCATTTTCAAGGCAAGTTCAARGGAGGCCACAAGGAGAAGCGGGTTCTCAACTGCGCACAGGGCTGTATCCGCGGCAGAGCCAGGAGCCTGTGAGATGGGCCAGGGACGAGGGTAGCACATTCTTCTGTGAGCAGGAARGGGGAAGGGCGGCCGTGGAGAGTCCCCGCGGCCCCACGCACACGTACCGGCAGCGGGTTGAAGTTCTGATCCACGAGGTGGTTGTGCCCGTGGTCGAGGAAGGAGTGCCGCACCACCACRTCGATGCCCTGGCTGGCCAGCAGCCCCAGTGTGTTCAGCCACCTGGAGCGCAGAGAGAGCCGAGTGGCAGGGCTGCCCGAGCGCGGCACCCGCCTGCCCCGGCACCGGGTGCCYGGCTCTCCAGCGTGCCGGGCTGGCACGCGGCTCTGCCGCTGCTCCGCGGCGAGCCAGAGCCTGCACGTGGCTCCAAGCTAAGCAGCCCCTTACCTGCCCCGCGTGCCTCCCTCTGCAGCCATCTCTGCCCCCTGCGTGTGCCTGACTCGCATGTCCCCACCGCGTGCCCGAGCCATCCCCAACGCAGCCCCTGTGTCCCCAGGGTGTCCTGGCGCATCACACAGCCTACAAGCTCTGTGCCAGCCTGGACGTGCTGCCCGAAGGGGAGTCCGGCCAGCCCCGCTCTGCGAGGTCTCAGCTTGCTGCCTCCCTTGCGCACATTCCTACACCTCGCTCCAAATCACCTACCTACCATTCCTTTGGTAGGAATCACCTACCAAAGATTGTAGGAACAATCTTTCTCAACTACTGCTAGCTCTGAAGATATGGGCTGGGGCTTTGCTGCAGGATCTATTTGCTCCTGGGCTGCGCCATTGGACAAGCCCCAGGAATCAGGAATAGTTATGGTTTCTAAGGAGAGAAAGTTGCTTCCAGGTCAGAGTCCTGTCAAGCACTTTGCAGGGCCCCGCGTCCTGCAGAGAAACAAATGCATCCAGCAAAGGAGGGAGGGCCTGAAAGCAGCGGGGCAGCTGTGCTTGCAGCTTGAAAAGAGGCCTTTGAGCAAGGACAAGGACATTACTGAACCTCCCAAGCCAGGCAGGCTCCTCGGGAACACCAAGGCCAGGAGCCAGTGCCAGCAGCCTCTCTGATCCTGCTTTGGTTGCACCTCCACTGTCATGACATACACCATGGGACTATGAGCAGTCATATCCCTACTGTGCTTCTCTACCCAGAGACTGTGTCATCTAGAGAAGAGCAGAGCTAAAGGTAGCTGAGATGGATGCTGCAGGGAAAATAACAGTGCCTGGGGCTGCTAGTGGTGTACCACAGTGGGAGGAGCAGTCGTGGGTGCTGGTGTCCAGGCAGAGAGCGGACCCTCTGCCAGCAGCAGGCAGCTGTTTCCAGCAGTTTTCAGCAAGTTGCCTGCACAGCCCACACAGTTACGGCTCCCGAGCACCGGCGTGACTCACAGGAACCCAGCGGCGTAGGAATCGGAGAGGTTGTTCATGCCTCCAGCTGAGGTAGCTCCAACGCCTTCCAACCAGATCTTCTTCCCYGGCGTGTATGTGTTCACCACCTGCACGGAAGACGAGAGCAGCAAACAGCCTTCGTTCCCGTGCCCAGGGGCGAGTGCTGCTCGCCTCGATGCTCCGATCTGGGGAGATCTGAGCAGCAGCAGATCTGAGCAACTGCCTAGCTGTGATCCCATCTCCTGCCAAGCATCACTCCCATCCCTGCTGTGGAGCATGCTCTTATCAGCCACACATATATAACCCCCGTGCCTCAAACCCAGGCCTCTCTGGCACGCAGGGCCAAGGGTGTCCTATCTGCAAGCACGGCTGATGAGTTGGGGCATGTGGCACTTCTTATACCCTTACAGAGCCTGCTCAGAGCCACCCAGCAGGGGCTGGTAGCTGCTTGTCGTGGAAGAGCCTCTTCCCCCTCAAGTTCTTCTGAAAACATGATTTAAAGCCAAGCTAGTCATCCCTCACTTTGTGCTTCCTGCCTAGAATCTGCCCTGTGTTAGGGCCCACTCCCTCGCATCAGCCCTGCATGCTGGCAATGCCCTCCTTCCCCAGGGGAGCTCCTGCCTGGTCCTGGCACGCGTGCCCTAGCATGGCCACGAGCTTGCCCTGACGGTGTCTCCATGGAAGGGTACTGCTCTCCAAACCCTCCTGCCTCTGGCATGTGTCTGCTTTCCATCTCCTGGAGCTGAGGTTGGGGCAGAAAAGAAACAGGGACTCAAGAAGTGCAGAGGTGCCTACAGCCATAGGAAGGCACAATAGGAACCAGAGGGGAGAGCAGTGCAGATCCCAAAACACAACGGGACACCTGGGCAGGGGCTGCTTTGCCATCTGATGGGTCTCTGTAAGCACTGGGACATGCATGTCCAAACAAACTGGCTTGCCCACTGGCTTCCACATGAAGGAYTCCCATGGGCCACACAATGCTCAGCGAGGTGGCCACATGTGACGGGAGGGCTCGGATGGCAGGAGCTGCCCCTTCCCAGCGCAAGCAGCCCCCGGTGCCACACAAGCACCTTCTCCTCTGCCGCTCTGCCGCTCTTGCCGGCCGGGCTCGGAGCTGCCGTGAGCAGATGTCTGCAAGCCCCGCGGGCCAGAGCGCACAGCGCAGCCTCACGRATCCTGCCCCATTAGTGCAGGACGCTGGAATGTGCTGGATGGACTGGGATCCCTCAAAGATGTTAAATACGCCAGCTCCGGGCTGCCTCCCACTCACAGCCTGCGCGAGCTGACATCCCTGCCTGAAGCCCCAGAGGTGTTGGCATCCTGCCTATAATTATCTAAGCCCGCCACCTTCCTCAGTCAGAGAGGAAGCAATAAAACAGGGAAGTGGACAAGCCCAGCTGCTCTAATCAGCCCCGGCAGGATGCACATACTCAAAGCCAAGCTGGAGGCTATTAGCACCCAGYGCTGTGCTTTTGCTCAGCCACACTGGCATTCCCCGGAGCTTTCTCTCTGGGCCTCGTGGTGCTGCCAAGGCTCTGTGATGGCACCAGCTCTCTGGTCATGATTGTACAAAGTCCAGGGAGCCCTTGTGCCCCTTCCCACCCAGCCATGCCCATCCACCAGACCACAGTGGGCATGGCAAATGCATCCTCTCTATTGTGGGGACCCTATGGTCCCTCCTTGACAAGGCAGCATGAGGCCTCCACCACGTCCCGTCCCCTCGCCAGGAGACACTCAGCGGCATCAGCGTGACGGGCGCTGCTGGGTTTTGCTCTGGATCGAGGTCAGACGGAGCCTCTCTCTTGCCCCCACGCCGGTCCCGCGGGCTGCCCGCAACGCCTTCCAGCTCCGGGAGCATGCGCGGATGTTTCCCAGCTTGCGCTGGAGGACTCGGTAAGCGGATGCTCTGCCCCGGTTTTGCTGTGCAGACCCTCGCAATCCCTTTCCTGGGGCCTCTCTGGGTTGTTTACTCATCCTACAGTTCCTCCCTGCAGGAATTGCAACAGTAAGATGTTGTGGTGACTGGTATGGTATGAAAACCTAGACAAGACAAACAGGCAGATGCGTCCACCAGTCTGTACAGATTTCCCTGTTTTTCCCTACTCCTTAATTTTCGCAAGGTCAACAACGGGGCAGGCTGGGCCGCAGCCCTGACCCTGTACCAGCTGAAGCGCAAGGACCCTGCAAAGCCCCAGTCATTACAAGCTCCAGCCTTGTCTCCCTGACCGACAGGGACGGGAAAGCTTTCCGAGCGCTRTGCTAGCCAGGCGGTGCTGTAGGCTCCGGCACAGTGAGCAAGCAAGCAACAGCTGGGTTTTATAATGCAGACAAAACACGATCATCAGGGAGAAGAAGAAAAAAAAAGCCAGTTGTTCAGACTGAACCCGATTCTGCGCTGACAAAAGTCACCGAGGAATTGCAACGGTCACAGCTTTGCAAGTCACACTTCAGGCGCTGGTGGAGAGCAGGGTTAGGAGAAGGCCACTGAGAACCTCCAGTGTTGCCTTCCCCACAAAACGTGTGTTTGCATCCCAGRTGCCTGCCAGCATTTCCCCTAGCTGTGCTCCGACCCTGCGCTCTCCCATGACCTTCTGCAAAGCCCCCGTGCCTGCAGCGTGGCCCATGCCACCTTTGCACACCCTGCTCGCGCCCGCTGTCCTGCCGGCAGGTCCCAGCGTGGTGAAGCCCACCCGGCCACCAGCCCTCCTGGACCCATGGCACTCACGCACTTTCTGGATTTTCCTGATCTGGTCAGATAGCGTGTCCAACAGGCGCGTTTTCAGGAAGTCCGTCGCTTTGGCCACTCGGCCATCAATGTAGTAACTGGAATGAAAACAAGAAAACAAGAATCAGACAGCTGAGAGTGGCTCTGCCCCAAGCCATGTCTTGTGTCCCATTGCCCATTGTGGCATTGCAGTGCCTCACGTGGGACTTCTTGTGCCTTCCCCAGCCCTGTCCCTCTGGCTGTGTCTGCAGATCACTTCTGTCCAAGACAGCGATATAGAGTGAGGAGGGCTCAGCCTAACATTGAGCATCCTCACTGCAGAAACCCTGGGAAGCTTTGCCTTTCCTTCATCACCCTGGTGGAAAAGCAGAGCTGGGAGCAGAACGCTGGTACCACCCCAAGAAGATCTTGATTTACCAGGCTCACAGCAGCTGCACCTATTGCCTGTGTTAGGGATACTCTGTTTTGAAAATGTGTGGAAGCCCCTGCGAGTGTCATTGCTATTAGAAGGACTGCTTTTAYGAACAGTAAAGCAGAGGATCCACATCTAGTGGTTTAAATGAAGGACTTATTAGTCAAAGGAGGTAGGCCACAGGCACCAAGAAGCAGAAGGATCCCCTACAGCAAAACAGCCTCTGCTACACTCAGAAAATTGTCTCTGGCCCTGGCAGAGACACATCTGGATAGGACACATCTGCAGGACACATCTGAGATAGGATGGGGGAGGCTGGGGCTGCTCCTGGAAACCACGCCTGGCTCCCCACGCACCCTGCCCCTTCCCATTCCTGCTCCCTGCAAAGCAACCACAACCCAGTCCTCCCTCGGGAAGAACCCGTGTCCTGTATTTGTGCTCCCTGTTTCCGCGGGGGCAGCCCCGCTCTTGCAGAAACCATTTCTGCCATGGAAATGCCATGGACTGCTTCCCGTTCAGAGGGCTGACTACTGCTCCTCATACACTTGCTTACATAAAACACGGCTACAGTGCTGCCAGTCATAACGTGAATCATTTGTCTTCTAAGTGTGGGAGGAAARCTCTGAAACGCCTAAATACTGTTGCCTCCTGGCTTGAGGGCACTAGGTGAAGTTGCCTAGAGTCCAAACACCCTGTATTAGGAGGTAATACAGAAAKACTCCTCCTGAAGAAGCATCTGGGGTCAGTATCTCTGACACCAGGGAAGACTGGCACCCCTTGCAGATCTCCCAGGAGTCCTTCTAGCTACTCAGTGGCACTGAAGCTTCTGCTGAAGCACCCTCTGACACAGCCCAGGAGCATCCACCTGGCTGATAAGCAAGGTTTGCAATGGAAACTTTCTGAAATTTTCCATCCAGCATCTCCAGCAACAAAACATAAACCCTATAGAATATATACCCATCCCTTGGTCTCTTGGTTTCTGCAAGCTGCCCTACCACCTTTGGCACCAGCACTGCAAAAAATAGCTGAGAAGAGAAACTGCCTTACTGCTACTAATATGGGATTGGATTTTTCAGCTTTTTGGGCATTGCATGGGCTTGAGGGAAAGCAGATGCTGCTGCAAACAGGTATGTCTAGGGGAGAGGGAACACCAGGCTGTGCACGGCTGGTGCCCCAGCTGTGCAGTGGGAAGGGGACAGACTCCCACATGGTCCCAAGAGCCTGTCAGGAGCCCCAGGAGAGCTGGTGGGCTCCATGGTGCCCTGGGCCCCCGAGCAGGAAAGGGTTTCTAGTTTCCAGCATGGGTGTATGATAAAGAGATCTTCTCTCCTTATGGCCCGTGCCCTTCAGACAGTTCTGAAGGACAAGGGGCACTGTGTACAGAGGTGGGAAAAGCAGCACAGAGGAAGACAGGCCCTCAGAAATCCCACACTATCCTGGCGTCTGAAAAAGAYGGTTTCACCTTTCCAGAGCTACAGCTCATTTAGAGGGGTGATTTCTTTCTAACACGCATCCTGCCTGRCCCCAGTGAGCACTGCAAAGCCCATTGCTGCTTCACGCTCGCTCCCAGGGACAGGTCTAACACAGACAAAAGGCAGAAGGAAAACGTCCTTGTTAAAGGCAGAAGGGCTGTTAGTGAACCGAAGGCAAGGCCATAACCCGTGGCAGCAAGCCCAAAACCGGAGCGGGGAGAGAAGAGAGCAGCTGTAGTAGTGGCCATCGTGGCATATTTTCCGGGTGCGTGAATGCACGTGCGGGCAGGAGAATCCCCAGAGGATGCAGCCGGAGTGCACGGCACACGTGCAACATTTATAAACGCTCAGAGAGCTCTTCTGCTTCTCTCTGCTCCAGTGCCCAAATCAGGTAAATACACACGGAGCGACTCGGGGCTTCAGCGCACGCGAGCAATGCCAGGGCTGACTGGCCCAGAGAAGAAGCAAATCAGAGCTTCAGCTCACAAATGCCCCCAAACAGAAGCAGCTCCTTGCAAATCCCCTCCCAGGTACAGAGCTCCAGCTGTGGACACAGGATCATGCCTATCGGACCTGTGTTCCACGTGCTGTAAGAAGAGAAAGTAAGAGAGACTGTCCAGCGTGTCCGTGCYGGCTGTAAGATGCTAAGGACAGATTATCTCCAGGGGTGACCGGGGAAGTGTTCAGAATATCATCAGTTCTTATATAATATTGAATCACTGGCTGCRGAGATGACAACAGATCAGTGAGCAGCAGGCAGTGATGGGGTTTGCAGAGATTACTTTTAAAAGACAAAATTACAAAGCACTGGACCCTGGGGAAGGCAGATGTTYGGATTTCAGCATAGCATGTAAAAACTGAACAGAAGAGATCTTTTGGACTGATATAGACTAAAAGCCCCATTGCTTGGGCTTAAAACTGGTGGAAAGGCCACAAAAAGAAGTTTATATGAATAAACTTCTATATAATAAAATAAATAATGATAAAAGTGGAGCTAGAGATATGTCGGTCGACGTAGCGTTCCTCCAGCACCAAAGGCTGTGGCGTTCGCCTGGGCTGTGCAAGCCAGTATGATCACAGAGGCCAGAACAGACCTGTCAGACACCACACGCAAGCTGAGACCTCCTCCTCGGCCCTTCCAGGTGCAAAGAGCGCTCTGACTCGCAGCCCCTCTGCAAACARAGGGGAACGTTGCTGTTTTAACCAGTAACAGCCTCCAAAGAAGCCAACTCTAATGACCTGCTCTCCTCACCATGCTCTTCTCTCACAGAGCAAGAGGACTCAGCGTGGAAGGTGCCGAGCCCGTTAAGACCCCGCAGAGAGCAGAAACGCCTGGGGACAGTGCCAGGATCACAGATATTTGACACCTTCCTTAACAACCCCGAGCAATGGGGAATGGCGCAGGGATGAAAGGCAAAAATACACTCTGTGCTTTAATATCAGSAAACCTTTTTGCTGATAGTGCATCTCCCCTGGGGAGCAAGGAGGGGAACCCCTCATCTCTGGGTCTCTGAAAAGCACAAGAAGAAAATTATGACATTTCTCTGGGACAACAGGGATCTCTCGCAGATCTGCCTAGGAAGTTCTGAAGATATTGATGGGTACTTTCAAAACCCCCAAACTGGGAGAGGGAGCAAATGGGATCAGTTGTACAAGGCCAGCAGGGAGGAAAAAGGCACCAAGGGTTTTTCTGATTTAGTGCCAGGCTATTCAGGAAAGAGAAGGTCATTTCCAGCTCGAGATTTTGCAATTGAGATCCAAGCTCTTCCTGCTGAGAACTTCAACCACGGGTAGAGGAAATAGAGAAATCTAAGCAAGACTCACAAAACTGCCAGATCTTTAAAGCAGGAGAAGAGGTCATTAGGCGTGGATTATTCCCCGGAGCGAAGGCTGCAGCTTTCCTGATATTTACAATGACTCAGTGCACTTGACATAAAAAAAAAAAAAAAAAAAAAAAAAAAAAAACCCTAGCAGTCACAACTCTCCAACCTACAAAAAAGCCAGCAGCAGCTGCAGGAATATCCCCATGGAACAGAGCGGCTGCGTCCTCCTCTCCCTGTGTCCACCAGGTCTTAGTGAGGAGGGAGGCAAATGGGCAACCTCTGCCCAGCGCGGAGTGGCTGGTCCCCGCAGTTTGGTGCTGCTGTGTCTGTAGAAGGGCAATGTGCAGAAACAACAGAAGAGCCAGGCAAGGGAAAGGTAGATCTAACAGAAGTCTAGATGAGACACATGCCTTGAAGGAAAGGCCAGGTTTGGCTGCTCTGGGTGTGCTGGGGAACGGCATAGAAGATATGGAAGATAGCCCACTTTGTAAAAAAAAAAAAATATATATATATATATATGTATAAATAGGCACTTGGAAACCCCGTGACAGGATCAGTGCATTTTGCAGAGATATCGCTGTGTCACTTGACAGGTGGGCAAGCCAGAGCACAGAGCCAGGAGAGGGCTCATTCAAAGCTCAGCAGAGATTTGTGTCAGGGCTAGGAAAAGCGGGAGCCCAAATCCCCGGCTCCACCGCTAGCTTGGTCAGTAGCACCAGGCTCAAGGCACAAAGGCAAGAGCTGCCATCACTACATCACAAAAGCTGCTGCAGAGGATCTGCTTATGCAGGGCTGAGCGCAGCTCCCAGCCAGAACTGCCCTTGTCCTTGGGCAGCCTCCAAGGCCAAGGTGCCCACAGCAACTTAGCAGCTCTTATAGATGGGCAGTGCCAGGCTCCCAGCCCCCTGGGCTGATCTGGGGCTGGCTTCAKGTACTCTCACCTCTAGGTCCTGTGCTGCTTTTGTGGAGCTTTTCTGGAAAGATCCGCAGTTGGCGACGTGTGACTGAGAGCATCGTACTGTACTTAATGAAGGCAGTGCACTGGCTCCTGGGCAGCTGGTTTCATTTACTTCCCCTTTCATTTTAAATGGAAACCTTTGCCCCTATTATCTGACCTCTTCTTCTGTTGCAGTTAATTACATTAAAGCCAACTTCCCAAAGTTCAGGAATTTCCGGATCTACTTTGTTGCCTGCTGCTACGGGGAGAGTCTGCTTGGAATTAGGGCAGCCGCCTGCCGGGGACGGGGCGCGAGGCGGATCCCCTCCGTGAGCGTGACACCAGCGGCTGCTGCAGCCGTGAAACCGAGACACCTCTGTCGGCAGAGCTGGCCCCGGGCAGCTCCCCGAGGAGAGGGGCAGCCCGTGATTGCAGCACTTGACCTGGCAAGAGGAGAGAGGCAGGATGCTCCCTGCTCCCTGRGGAGGGACTGGCATCACCTGGGACTGTGCTGGTGACCACCACCACCAGCATCACCTAGGACCATGCTGGTGACCACCACTGTGCCAGGGCTATGCTCCTCACCAGACAGTGCAGTGGATGACCAGCAGTGTGCAAAGCCGTGAGCTGGCACGGCTCATCTGCTCCTGGAGATGGGCTGCTGATGTTTTCACGAGAGCCCATCGCCTGGACACAGCCTCGGAAGTCACCGTGCTCTGAGCACAGCATCTCTGCACCCCTGGCCTGCACTCCGGCATGTGCACTCACGCTAGCCATGCACGCTGGCATTTTTAGAGATCTGCCACCTAACTAAAAGCGAGGCACAGACGGCCACTGCCTCGTGACCATCTCCATCCGGACCTTGGGCACGTCTGTGCCAGAGGAAGTGTCATCCAAACCAAGCCCTGCAAAAGCACTTTGAGCTGCATCACATGTGCCCACGTAGCATTACACAAGGGTTTGCCCATAAACCTTGACAAAGCTCAAGTTCTGCTTGCCCCATTGGGGGAGAAAAGAGCAATACAAACTAAGGAGTGTGCACAGGAAAGGGACTGAGGCCCAGCTGCTGCTTTGAGCACACAACATGTCTCCAGCACGTGCAAGGACACCAAGCTCAGGAGCAAAGCTGGAGGAAAGCTAGAGCTGTGGGAAGATTTCTGAGCAGGGGAAAAGCGCATCCAAAGACCAAGGGGGTCCACAATAAGCTGAACATTTGCTTATAACCAAACAAAACAGCCTAAATAATGGGGGAAATGCCAAAAATTTTCTGAGCCACTGTCGGTCCCACCTGCCCCACCCGCCTTCAGTGGAAATTCCCTGAGCGTTTCTAAGCCATTCACACATCCCCATCCAGCAACACATTACTTCTGAAGAGGGAGGCACACATGCTGAGTTACATATGTAAGTGAAACCATACTGGGAAAGGCTGGCAAGCCTGCTTATTTACACCCGGTGTCACTTTTCTAGCAGATATAATTCACAAAAAGAGCGATCAGTTGTGCGTTTTCACACAGAGAACAGGGATCCCTGCAAAGTATTCCCTTCTCGATTCCCCTTCTGGATCAGGCACAACCTTTTCAAAGGAACAACAGATTTGACAAATTTATAACCAATATCCCAAGAGAAYGTTAGGGGTTTGGAACAGAAACGTTCATACTTCAAGTTAGACAGCGGTTCAGTTTCCTGCTAATAATTTTCTTCTTGGATACAAAGGAGCTTGTTTTGTTTTGTTTTGCTGTTTGGAGCAGAGGGATGAGACACTGTTTTGACATTTATTCATAAACAGAACAGAAGCCCAGATTGCAGCGGTGGCCATTGCTGCTCCTCACCGCTGCTCTGGGCTCCAACGCTCCGGCACCAGAGCCCTGGGCTGGGGGAGGCTGCTCAGAGGTGTCAGTGGGAAGGATTCAAGGAGCAGCTCCATGTGCTGCTGCCCCACATGGGGGGCTGCATGGGCACCGTGTTGGCACAGCCACCCACACTGGCCCTTTCCCCCATCCCTTACCTAAAGGTCTCAACGCGGCCATGCGGTGCAGTTTCCGCATGCCCTCGGACGCAATTCCATGCACGAAGCCTGGAAGTTTGTTCCTTCAGCTCATCCAAGGGCTTGGCCCAGCCATCAAGCCCTTTTTCAGAAAGCAAATTCCTGGACTAAGTAAATGCGATCAGCACATCGTGTAATCATGAAAAGCAAGCTCCCAGCTGAGACATAGATCATAGTTGCACAGCGTGAGCCTGTAAGCAACACGAATCCCGCTCCAAACRCTCTGCTACCCCTCTGCCCCCTCGGCATCCAGCGAGCGCAGACAGCCTTGATGAGCAGCAGCCTTGCCTGGTGCTGCCGCCCGCCCGCCTCGGCCACGGGGCAAGGTTTGCACATCCCCTCCTGGTATGGAGCCTCCTGAGGGAGGAGCACAGCCCCTTTTACATCCCTAAACAGCACAGGAGGGAGGAGGCACCCCGCAGAAGTCCTCCTTCCCCATCCAGGCAGCGCGTTATCTCCAAGCGCTGCTTTATCCCCATGAAGTCGTTCCAGGCAGAAAGCAGGAGGAAGGTGGAATACCTACTGTTGCCAGGTAACAGCATCCACGGCGCTGCCGGCCACCTTCATGAACCTGCGGRAAACAGAGCAGGAAATCATGAGACCCGCCTTGTCCATGAGCACAAGGAAGGCTGGAAGCAAGGGGTGCTCGCGCCGCTGGTTGTAAGCCACAGGGTGATGAAGACCAGTTCTGTGCCCATGGCATTGCCAGAGCCTCTCTAGCTAAACCTTCGTGTCCTCAAATGCAAAGGATAACTTGTAATTAATGCAAGTGCTCACGGTAAGCACAGCTGAACATGAAGGAAGGGAATTCAGTCCCAGCAAAGGCTCTGAGCAGGGGGGCACAGGTCTCTGAGCACAGGATTTCAGGGACAAGATCTTCAGGTTTGTACTTCACAGCTCAGCTCTTAGTATAAATTAAATAAAAAAACTTAAATGTCCATTTGAAAAGGAGGCACGACATGCACTTAAGCTCTTTCTTGCCTAGACTTACAAGCATATTGGAAAGAATCATGGCGAATAAATGCAGCAAAGCTTTTAGATGCAAAGATGCTCCCTGTAGCCCAGGAGTCTCTGACCATTAGGGGTGGGAGAAGGCTGGACAAACATTGGGATATGCTCACCTTGTCCTTGTGCTCCTTCCTGGGCACTGGAGACTCATGAGATTCTGCCTAGGTGGACTTTTGGTTTGACCCATTTTTATGAGTAAACCCAGCACTTCCCTACCCAAAGTCAGTGGGTTGTGTGTACGTGTCAGCCTGCAATCCAACCACCTGGGAGATAACAGATCTCCTCCAGAGATCCACATCTGAGCTGGAACTGAGGTACACAAGAGTATCTGCTTCCACCTCGGATACCAAAAGCAAAGCAATTCCTGATCTTCGGGACTGTGACAACCATCACAACTGCAGCCTCTGGCATGGGCTTGCTGCCATCCAAGACAGCCCATCCACATCTCCCTGGCCCAGCAACCCAAACCACAATCCAAACCACACTCTGGAAAACTCAGACTTACACAAGTAAACAAAACCAGTTGCTSTACTCTTACAGATACTTAGGAAAACAGACATAAAACACAAACACACATCAACTGTCCTGGCATGCTTTCCTTGTTCAGTAGCCGTGTAGCTGATGTTGCATTTTAGATGCTATAAAGCATGCGTGTGACGGGAGCCGCTGGTCTGATCAAGTGAACATGATGAGAAAGAAATCGATGCCGCGCTGTCTCCGGCCACCCTTCAATGCGCAGAGACCCTGAGAGGGCAACACTCATCACAGGGCTGTCGTGACTCTGCTGAGCRCTGCACCAAGGCGCAAGGACGAGGGTGGCACTGACGGGAACGCGCTGCCCTGACGGGGAGCTGCAGCTCCTGCAAGCCAGGCTGCCTTCGGGTAGGCAGGTGAGCAAGTTCCTAGGGGAATAAGTTGCTTTAAGTCAGGAATATGGGCTTCCTCAAGGGTGAGGGGAGAAGGATGGATGCTTCAGCAGAGAGGGTACCCTGGCCCACCTCCCCTKCCTGCAGCACTGATGCTGCTCTGGCAATAGGAGGGGAGGTTTTTACAGAGAGGYAATGCCAGTGTGATAGGAAAAAGCCGCACGTGAGCCTCTAATCAGATCTGAAACAAGAGCAGCAAACTTCAGGCTATATATAGCTTGGAAACAATCATTATGACTTCCAATTAATGATGATGGTCAATTATAGACTGGGACAAAAGGGCAGTTGGACCCTGTGAAGCATAAGAGGACACTAGCAAAGGCAGAGGCAATAAATCCCTGAGGACGGAGAAGGAAGAGATGCAATTAGAAATGGAAAAACAATAATAYGCTGTAAAAGGCAGCAGCCTTGATGAATCCCCAGGATTCTGATGCCCAGTGTTATGAATTTCAGTTCCCAGGCTATCTCAAAAAAACTTTTTGTGTCTCTCTTGAGGGATGGGCCTGGGAGCCAGCAAGAGGGGTGGTTTTGTGAAAAGTCCTTCACCAACCACCYGCTGGGAAAACAGCCCAGATGGTCAATACTGGAGTCAGGACCAGACCCTGGGACACCTGTGGCTCTCCAGCATGTGCCACCGGTGTCTAGGATGCTAGGTCAAGCACTTGGCCTTACCCATGGGGTCAGGGGTGTCCTGCAGCCCTGTGGTGGCCTTGAGAGCTTCATCTGGGGCTTCCCTGCATGGCTCTGACTTGCACAGATCATTGGGTTCCAAGGTAAAAGATGGTTTTGCAAATGCTGCTATGGAAAGTGCACCAAGTAAGGCTGCTCTTCTACCAAACTCAATATGCAGAAGCATCTCAAATGGATCAAACAAACAAACAAACCATCTAGCTCCCAGGTTTAAAATTCTCAACACGGGTTGCTGGCTAACAAATAGCTACACTTATGCAGTATTACGCAGGTCGAGACTAGTAAAGAAAAGTCCCCGGCTTGCTTCATTTTCTTCTATGGTCTAGGTAAGAATGACACGAGCTAGATCTAATCATTTTCAAATTTTATTATAAAAGATCATATCTAGCTCAATTTTTCATTTCTGTGGTYGTTTTTTCTTTTGCCTGAACTGAAATTTCTACAAATCAAGGTTCAGAAATTCCTGGCAAAACTTCAGGTTTGGCCTGGAATGATGGAGCTGTGCCTGGAACATCCAGGAAAACATGGGCAATGGTCTCTACCCTCCAAAGGGAATCTAGATCGGCTCAATATCCAGCAAGGGGTACTACAAGCCTAAGAGATGAAAGACCAGGGCAGGTGGAGACTACAGTGATGCACAGGTATTTAAATATCCTCAGCCCAGGAATACAGATGTTTTAAATTCCTTTATTCATGTAGCACCTGCACTGCTTGAACCACAGACTTTTAAGGCCAGTGAAGATCAATACAATCCCGCCGTCTGGTTAGCGCTGGCACATTTTTATCTGGGATTTCCTGGACTGCACGATGTACTTGCATGCAGTGCAGCCCAGGCAGAGTAAACCAGATGCTTCCGGGAAGGATCGGATCCCCTGCACATGTGCTGCGCAGATGGTCCATGCTGGTGCAGTAAATCTGACATTTTCCTATATGTTGGCCCTATTCTGTGAGCCCTAATCTATTATGCAATGCATGTGCAGTAAATCCACAGCCTGAGGACAGCGGGATGAGCACAGCCTGTGCCATGCAGGCGTTGTGTGCCAATACTGTACCCCTGCCCCGCAATTCAGAYGCATGGCCACCCCCAGGGTGCTGCTGCTCCATATCCGTGGCTGGACTTCCATATATCTGCAGTCCAGGAAAATCCAAAAATCCTCAAATTCTGATGGGACAGAATTTCTAGGTAAACCAAAACACGTCAGGAGTTGTGTGAAGGAGCAGGAGCTCTGATTAATAATTGTGCCACTAAAAACCAGGCAAAGACCTTAAGTTGAGCTCTGTCCATCTCCTTACCGTGCTGCTTCCTGCATGCCAGCATGCCACTGTTAATATTATTGCTTGGAGGGGTCATGTCCTGAACTAGAACTGAGGCCCGACTTTGCCTTTAAATAGCAGTGAGAAAAATGCATTTAAGGTTGGATCAGTCACCCAAAGCAGAACGCAGCCCAGCCCCAAAAATGGTATCACTGGTGTGATGCATGGGACAACATGCCACAGGTCAGGAGCTAGCTGTGGAAGAGAGGGAAGGGAGGAACTGGGACAACGCAGGATGGTACTAGCACCAAAAATTCTGCATGGTGAAGTCATGGCTCCGATTTGACCTCTTGCAAGCCTGCAAAGGGTCTCCCTTAGTCACATCCTTCAAGACCATAACTTTCATTTGAGTGTGGACACATCTCTGAAATAGATCTTTTGTCTTGACTCAACGCTTGCTAACCATGGAGCATCTACTGTAACCTTAAGCAAATTGCTCCCATGCTTAATTAGCCTCCAAGTATGTTATTTCTCATCTAAATGTATCTGGCTTCAGCTTCCAGTCATTGGAACTTCCTAGGCTCATTCCTGATACATTAAAGAGCCATCTGCATTTGGAAATCTCTTTCCCATGAAGGTAATTGCAGACTGTCATCCTTTAAATATATACATATATATTTTTTAAAAGCGATCCTGCTAGAAAGAATGCAGCTGCACAAGGGAGACAAATCACCACCGTGCAGGCTCCCAGATGGTTCAGCACTAACTACTGGGTGCCCTCTTCTCTGCAAGACTGGGGCCAGTGCCAGGTGCAGAAGAGAGCCYGTTCCTGTTTGCATTTACTGTTTTGCCCATGCTGCCTTTTTAGTATTAACCTATCAGTGCCTGGACTCGTGAACCACGTGCAAGCGCACAGCTTTCATCCCAAGCCCAAATATCCGCCCAAGAAACCGAACAAACTGAGAACGGAAAGTTGCTGCATTGACTATGATGGGGAAAAGCTCTTCAATGCAAGGTGTTCTGAAGAGCAATCAAATATCTGCAGCAGTATTCAAAGACTCTACTTTAAAGACTTTACTTATCCTGATTAATGCAAACTGTCTGACCTGTAATGCTGGTTTTCAGACAAGGATTCCACTGCAGGAGAGCAGCTCCTGGTAAAGTCTATCTAGAAATTTGCTGCAATATTGTATTCTCTTTCTGCTCACAATACCTTACTTCAAYAACATGAATTATTTTAAGACTGCACAAATTCTGTAGCAAATTTTAGATCCTCAAGGGACTATATATATTAATAACATATATTATTATATATTAGACTGATCAAGGAGGTCAGACTTAGATATTGATGTRTTTTGGGAAAATAAGGAAGGTGGGAACCCTAGAAAAACCATTCACAGTATCTAAGATATAAATATACATTTCTCCACATCCGGTAAACATAGAACAATGATGTCCTCCCTATGYGTCCTAACAGAGTAGTGAGTAGATGAATTTGCTCTCCCTCTCATTAGCCCTTTTGTAGAAACGCATCTTCTTGTGCTGTTAAAGTAAATTGCCTGGAAAAGCAAAAGTCATCGTGTTCCCTTTTCTGAGCATCATCATGTGAGCACTGTTCTAACGGGGAACTGTATGGGCACCCAGCCTTTAAGACAACGGGGAGGCACAGTGCTTCCTGGCTACCTACCCAGTTTGGTGGTCTGCACTCTAGAAACTCTGAAGGTTGCATTTGGACCATGATTTTGGATTACCTTTGATTTTTTTTCCATTAACAGTTATGTAGTCCATTTCTGAACATGCTTCTGGCCTCCACAATATTGTGTGGCAATGACTTTACGGTGTAATCATATGCCATGTGAAAAAAAAACTTCTTTCAGTTTACTTGTATAATTCATCAATTCACTAAATTCATTAATCCAGATTACTTTCTGCACTGTGGGAGATCCACCGTTTACAAGCTCATGGGTCTTGGTAATCTTCCCTCTCAGCYGTCTCTTTTCTAAGATGAAAAGGCATAGTCTTTTTAATATTTTATCATATAGAAGACATCACATAGCTCTTGCAYATCCTGGGCTTCTCTTRCTGTAACTTTCCCAGTTCTACTACWCTTCYGAGASTAAAAAATCAGGACTGTAGATAGCGATCAGGATGAAGCTATACACTCCCATGGGTGTGCTTTTACCCATTTTGCTCTTCCTATACAGGTGAGAGTGATTTGGGCATTCCAGCCCAAAGGTCTCTAATAACAATTATGTTAACCCTTTTCTCCTGAGAGACTGATAACTATAGTCCTCTGTTTATTCCTCAGATCCTTGAGCCTGCTATATAAGCAGCTACCAAATACCTTACCACACTTTTCACTATTTATTCCAATATATTTACGATTGTATTCGTGCATAGATCCAATGCTATCTTAGTCTGAGTTTATGCTGCCATGGTCTTCTGCCTGGCTGAGAAGTGGGGCACAAGGAGATGGGGTAAAGGCTTTGCCCCGTGGCAAGGGGACCCCTGAAGACCCTATTGCTGGTTGATTTGTGACTTCAGTGGGGCCCACGACCCAAAGTGCCTGTGCTGCACCAACAACTATCAGGCTACTGCAAACACAAGTGCCCCCCCAGAGGCAAAACCTTGACACTTTTTAGTGTGCARTGGCAAAAACTAGGCCACACTGGCCAAGGAGCAATAGATATTGAGAGTCCCCAAGCAAGTCTTCCTGGATATGTCAGCCTACTTTGTACCATATCTTGTGAGTTTTCACACTTGTTAGCATCTCTCCTTCCTAATATCTTTCCCTCACATTTCTTCTCTTACAGCACTGACTCTGCTGATGCATTAACATTTGTGGCTGATTCTTGATCTGCTGTTAAAATCTATGTCAATTCCTTAGAATCCTGCAATTTTTTCCCCAAGCAAATAACTCCGCACTGTTCTGGGATGCTTGTGCCCGCAGACACACTAGGTAGCAAACACAGCCTGCTCTCCAACAACTCAGGCTACATGGATGGTCTAATTAACACCTCATCAAACCCCACTGTTAGTTGTGCCTGGAGAAGTTCCCTCTTGCACCTGTGCATTCACAGGACACTGTTTCTCACCTCCTGCACAGCAGGCCACAGCCACTGGAGCAACATCTCTGCAGAGCCTGTCTGCTCACCAGCAGCAGCGGTCCTGGTCTGCTCTGCAGGACTAACTCGTGACACAACTTTGCTGGGATCTGTGGATGCTCTGAGCCGTTTCAATGTGCAGGGCGAYGCCAGAGCTTGGGAGCAATAAACATGCAGCTAGGGGTGTGCAAAGCCCCTGCCGTGGTGCTTCGGGCAGGGCTGTCTGCAGGCAGAGAGGGCTGAGCTGTGCTGTCATGAGCAGAGGGCTGAGTGTTTGCAGAACAGGCTACACGGGAGAGAGCTTTTACTGCTCCTCTCATCCTCCAGCTTCATGCTGATGGGATCATCCAGCTCTCAGTGTATCCTGCCCTCTGCCACGAGGGTGTTACCAGAAAATGCTTAGAATTCACCCAGGACAAATTCAGTACAGCAGTCAGCTTGCCTGRGAGACTAAGGAGCAGAAAAGGGTCATTTCAGAGCTTTCTGATGTTTTCAAGTGAACAGACCAGATAGGACCCAGTTTGACCCCTGACACAATCCGAGTGTCACATCTGCATTAGGTTGTACCTGGCTGTCTATAGACCACTCTCCCCTACGTTGGCCTCAACCTAAGTCAGAGTGTGCCTCTATGGGACACAGATCTGCCAAAGCCAGGAGGTGGCAGGAGCCTGTTGTGTCCATCTGTGTTTGCACCAAACTCCACAATCTTCATCCTACTGCAAGCTCTGCATAGATTCCTTATCTATGGATCACGGTAGCATCACAGACTGCTACTAGGAGCACTTCCCTAGTTCCTTCTACCCTCTTCTGTCTGAAGCTCATCTAGGGTCTCAGGAGGCATGTGCTGGCTGTGAAAGCCCCAGGCACTTCTAGGTGTCGTCTCACTGACCAGTCTGGCGATGCTGCTGGAAAAAGGCAGACAGTTCTCAGTAGCACTAGCTGAGAATACTGAAGAGGCCTCAGGGAGCTGCTGGGAATAAAGCTCATGCTGTAAAGTAGCTTAGACACTAAGTTTTATTTCTCTATCCTTTCCTGACTCTGTTTCCAAATACTGTAAATGAATGTTTAACCCTTTGTCTTGATTTAATCAGACTTATTCCTCATCTTTGCACCTTATCTGGTAATAACATCGTCTTTAGAGGGGAAGAAAAACAGCTTGTTTCTCACAGGAACTCGTGGCCTGTTAGGTCATGGGAGCATGTGCCAYTCATGAAGTGCTGCAGCCTCCAGAGCTTGGGGTGCAGGTGTGCCTGGTGACAMGAGGTGCCTCCAAAGGAGGTAGAAGCACCCATGGAAGAGCATCACCTCAGCAGGCAATGATGGCTGTGGGGAAACAGCACAGAGCTTAGAGAGCATGCAGACTCATTACAGTTCTTGCAAAACTACCTTCAAAGTGGCATGGGATTCTGGAGAGCCCCCACCACCCTGTCTGTGTGGCTGTTCAAAGCCATAGCTCTGACCTACTCTCCCGTTCATTCAAAATGACATTTCTGTCAGACTTAGGTCTCACATCAGGGATCATTTGTCAATCCAAGTGCAGCTTTGAAACATGGAGCCACCAGATCACTCATGGCCATGACAATTCAACATCTCAACCCCCTTCTCTGGGGACCAGACTTTGACATGTGAAGCGCAAAGTAGGATTTCCCTTTCTCTGAGGGTTTCCTGGCTCTCCTCCCTGTGGTCCTCCTTACTCAGCCTGCCCCTCTGGCACTAACAGATTTCCTGCTGATCGAGACCACTGCAACCTTACCAACCCCAGGAGCTGCAGCTAGCGATGTGCTCCTCACAGAGACAGCAAGTGACATTGGTGACACAGGCGTTAGCCGTGGTGTCAGCGTAGAGCTGTTGTTCCCTCCACCTTCTGTCAGCGTGAGGGATCCCAGTGTCACAGCTGGTTAAACCCTCTTTATGGTCTCTCAGTGCTGTTGCAGCAGAGCTGAGAATCTGGCCCTTGCTCTCTGCCTGCCTCCCCGGGGACAGCATCAGTGTGCTGCTTATTGTTTCTGCCAGATCATTCRTGCAGATGTTAATGAATGCTAGACCCAGCTTTGCTCCCAGCAGAGTCCCTTGCACACCTCCCCCTGCCCGGCTCCGTGCACTGGAGTTTCTGTTTACAGTCCTGCAGGGAATTTCCCCTCTGTTGGACAGTATTTGAGCCCGCACAGTCTGAATTCCTTTGCTGCCACCAGGCTCCCACACCTCACTTGTTGCTGTAGCTGTCTTGTGTCACATCCAGGTGTCCCACTCCATCACTGTCACGATCCCTTCTCCAGGCTCTTCTCTCTGGCCTCCCCAAATTCAAGGTCTACCAATTCTCCCACCCATTACTTTAAGCATATAAAAAGCAAATCTATCTTCCAGCATTTCAGGCAATTCCTGCATATTATTTTTCATCTACKGGACTGGACAAACCAACCATGAAGCTAAAACTCATAGCGCCAGTATCACCACCAGAACCTGCATTGATTTTGATTGAGCTGCCTTGGTTGGAGCAGCATCAMGCCATTAAAAGGTACTAAGTAACATTGAGCTAGGTAGGTGTTTCCTTGAGAGACAAAAGAGAGGAGGAAAGGGTATCTCCCAGACAGATCATAAACTCTAATGATGAACATTCAAATCTTCGTGCCACAAATGGAAAAATAGCTAACTCAGAATCAATGGGTGCCACCATCAGCAGCAGCACTATGGCAATGGCTCTGCTCCACACATCTTCCCCTCATCYGCAATGCTTGTCACAGCAGGAAGGGGGCAGAGTGCTCGGCCTGTGAAAGAACTAGCTATGATCTCTCCCTTCACACAGGTAAGAAAGGCATGGGGAGAAGAAAGTACCAAGTGGGAACACCAAAGCTATTTGTCCAGACACTTCCAGGTCCCATTCCCAAGGGAATGAGTGAACCTGCTGTTTGCATCTTCTTAATTACTTGCCATTCCTTGTTTTGCTGTGATGAGAGCAGCATGAGATATATTCTATTAAYACATGTGGAAAGAACGTCTTCTCACTATAAAGCTCCTGCTTTAAGGCAACAGTATGGAGAGTGCTACAGCACTAAAGTGTTCACCTCTGTTTCCCCACTCTCCTCCCAATGCACATGGGCYACTGCTTCCTTCCATCTTAGGCTGTTGTCACCAATGAAGGACTCAGACACATCGACACAAGTAAACGGTGCCAGGACCCACCTCCTGGCCCCCTGAAGCCAGGAGGCATGCAGCAGCCTGCACCCACACCACTGACTGTACCTTCAGAATCCAAGGAGGTGGCCACCTCCCACATGTGTATTGAGAAACTCTGGAAATGCTTGGAGGACAACTAAYCTGGGTTAGTTGGCCCAGGCCAAAACCACGCCAGGGAACTCTGCAAATATTTAGCAGCACGGGTGATCACGTTCCCGAGCTCAGRTTCTGGTGCTTAGTTAACTGACCCATACAGACTCTTACTTGCCTGGCACCCATCGCAGGGATGGAAGTTGAGCAGTGAAGAAACAARCAAAGATCAGGTTGACCTTCTGGGATGGGCATCTATTTCAGGAGACATTTTGATTCTCTCATCTTTTCTTGATCCAAATAACATTACTTACCCTTCCAGGAGAGCGATGACATTTTTCCTGGGCCTCCCAATGTTTGGCCCATAGAGGTTTGCTCTGGAATAAGTGCGGATAAGCTGCAGCAGGCTCCTCAGCTGGATGTAGTCCTTCCCCAGCTGGCTGCCGTTCACCGAACGGCCAATTAGAGTCCGATAGTTATTGGGCTCTGGGAAAGTAAAAATAGACAAGGGAGGCTTGCCAGCTCAGCTCCTCCATCCCCATTTCCACAGGGAGACACACAGCTCACGTGCTGTCGCACAGCTTGAGCTCARCACCGAGCTGCCTGGCTGCTCAGTGGAGGAGCAGAAGGCAACCACTGAAGGAAGGGATGAGGGTCATTGCTCCCGCTCCATGACTAGCACGGTGCTCCATTTGCAGAGCCRTGCTGAGATGGTGAGATAGCACCTCTTCCTTTGCTGCATTTATTGTGGCCTGGGTGAGGAACATGCACCTTGATCTCACCCTCCACCAGGTCCACCTGTTCCCCAGGTATTGCAGCTGCTGTAAAGTCCATGGTGCTTCTGATCAACTCATCCCAGAAACAACCATGTCCAGTACCCAGGCAAGCAGAAGCATTTCACATGCTTAGAGACAACCAACAAGACATCCAGCTGAAGTGCTACCACACGCTAGGTGGCTCTTAGAGACTGTGTTTCCTTCTAAAAGGGATCTTTGAACCTTTCTGAGTCAACACTGGCAAGATATCTTTGGTTTTGCAAAGCTCTTACCCCAAAGGGAATACCTTTCTATGGGAGTGAGTTACATTCCTGTGGCTCTCTGTTTCCCACACTCACCRTTGCCCAGCTCCCAGGAGATGTTGTATTTCTTGCTGGCACTGTACTTCAACAGGCTGAGCGCGTTGGAGCTGTTCCAGGAGTTATTGGGATTTCTGCGCAGAGCATTCAGTGCAAAGATCAGGTGAAGGCCAGAGCAGTCAGCAAAGTTATAGAGTTTGTCTAGAGACCTGGCTGGGGAGAAACAAAAAACAGCTTGTAATTCAAATGAAAGCAAGTTCCATGGAGGTTCAAAAGATCCTGTCCATCAGACCTCAGCTTCTGTGCAGGTCAAATGCCATCCCTTCGACATCTGTAACCGCAGAAATCCGCCTGACCTTTGAAACCGGGATAGGATTCCAGTTGTGGGCTAAACTCTGTTCCAGCCTGAAACTTGGATACACTCCACCACTTTGTCAGAGATAGGGCCACGTTACCAGAGAAGTGACTTCATAACATCTCTTTTCATCTGCTCTTGGCAAGGAAAGTTCGGTCTTTCATGAGCTTACCCTACCTTGCAGCTCCTCCGGACCAGCTCTCTGCAGCGCTGTGTCCCAGGGGCAGGCTCTGGAATAGAGGAGCAAACGTGCAGCAGTGCCAGAGGCATCATCTGCCCTGGCACCTGCTGAGCTGCTGCCAGCGCATGGCGTGGCCACCTCTTCTGGTGCCCCGTGAGAACCTGCTCTCAGCTCCCAGAGCTCCACAGACAATAACAGCCAAAGAGCAGCAATAACCAAGAGGGTCTTCAAGACTTCCACTTTTCTCTCCACCAAGAGAGCTCTGGATTTATATCCAAGCTGCATAGCTCTGACTTGGATACCAATTTTCCATACGAGCCTTCCATTCATTTTCCCAGGCTCACGAGCTCTGCAAGAGCGGTGCTAACAGGCAGCACCGCTGCAGGATGACCATGCAGTGTTGGCCTCCAGGCACAGGAGGCTAGCAAGGACATCCAGGTTGTCCCCTGGGCTCTGCCATGTGCTTGTGGAGGGCTCAGGGCTCCACATGTGGCGATGGCCCCAGCTCAGCACACCTGAGCTCTGCTGCTGGGCCCTAAAGGGATGGTGAGCTCTTTGCTGGATTTGTACCATCCACTGGACCCAAAATTCCCCCAAATGTGATCACGGCAGCAGCAAGGCYATACTGGTATCTCCTTGGTGGGCACAAGGGCCCTTGTTCTGACTGAAGCAGGGGCCAAACAAAGAGTTATTTCACTCCTCAGCAAAGCAAAAAACTGCCCAAGTACTGCTGTGAGAGGCAAAACACTTAATGCTTTGCTTGCTTCAATCTTTCCTAAAAATTCRAAAGCAACCAAATGCCTGACGAGGCGAATGCCAGTGTTAGCAGGATAAGAGCTCATACTAAAGCAAGGGATGATTTAGTTAGAGGGTAATTAAACAACAGCGATGTTTTCAATCATCTATGCCTGCTGAGCTGCATCCCAGGACACTCCGCAAGCTTCCTGAAGCCGCCACAGGGACACAACCACTTAGCTTTGAGGAGCCATYGGGGATGGAGAGGTTCCAGAGGGCTGGAAAGGGCAGACGGAATGCTCCTCTTTCAAAAGAGGAGAAGGAGGCCATGGGGAATTACGGAGTAGGCAGATTAACTTCGGGCCCCAGAAAAATACTTGGACAAATAATCAGGCTGCTTGTCAGCACTTACAAAATATAAGGAGATGATCAACAGCCACAGGAATGTGTCAAGAACAAATCACTGCAACAATCTCATGACAGGAGAGCAGGGCTTGTGGACAGCAAAGTAGTAGTTTAGGCYTTAAACGTTGGTGTTTTTAGGGCTTTTGCCTCAATTTCATGTGATGTCCCTTCAGCAAGGGAGGCTGCCATGATCTAGACACGCAGTAAAGGCTGTGTGTGCTGAGAGCAATTACCAGCYGTTTGCTGCTCAGCTGAAGGGGCTGAGAGGTCTGTGCAGCTTGCTCTGAGTCTTCCTTACATATTTACCATAAAGTAGAGCACAGAAGCATGGAGGATACATACATCAGGCTTGCAAAAGCACCAGGGTGCTAGTAAGAAGGACAAGAGAAAGATGGAGGAGATTGAAAACTGGAGAAACAGGCTGAAAAGGAAGATGTAATTTGAGGAGGGAACTGGGGGTGCTAATCTAAGTACTCTGAAAAAAACAAAGGTCACAGAGATATTTTATGACAGCAGTCCTGTCTGTAAAGGCACAAGGTGATCTGGCTGCTGTGATCTGGGGGTGAATCTCCAGACAGAGACATCCAGTTTTAGGCATGTGGATGGAAACTGGAGACCCAGTGGCTCCAGCCAGAGACAACAGATGGAAAGGGGCAGGACAAGGAGCAAGGGGATGAGGACGTCTCCCAGCACCCAAGGCAAAGGGGGGAACGTGCTCTCCGTGCTGGTGGGATGCAGGATGAGCTGCAGCTCTGCAGTCCTGGTGTGCCCAGCAAGGGGACGCAGGGAGCCCCGCTCTCTACCCAGCACATCTACACAGCCAGGTTGGGGAAAATAAAGTTCTTCTTAAATCRGTGTTTCAGGAGGGTTAATGCAACACATTAACTGAATAGTTAACATTTAGTGGAATGCAGCAACGTCACGAGAAGCAGAAGAAAGGTGGAAAAAGCAGCTCCTAATCYTTTTACAACCTTTCTCTAAATATGACTGGAGGTTTCAGTGAAAAGTATCTGAGTTAGATTAATCTAATGTATTCATCCCAGTGGTTCAGGCACATTAGCTGGTTTTCTGGGTGATTAGTGGATTAGAGACAGATACAGTTACTTAATACTCATTTACTTTAGACCTCCAGGCAAAAGCTGTACTTGAAATGATAACTCTGTAAATAGGATAAGATAGAAGCCTAAATGACAACATGAAGACAGCAAAAAAAGTGCTACCTGCAGCTTCCCTTATAGGAATGAAACCTTTTTGCTGGTATAAAACAGTTCTAGTACTTCAGTACTACAGGAGGGGGTTTCGTTCATGTGTAGGGTTCTCTGCAATGGACTGGGAATTGATTTTCCATGCGTCTATGGGAGGAAAACAAGCTGCCTGTTTATCCCAGCGCAGGGCTGCCACTGCAAAGTTATATTTTCCCYGTGACGCTTTTGTTTCCATGCACCTGGACACCGAGATGCCACGTGCGTTTCGTGCTCTCCCACGGCTTTTCAAGCTGGAAATCCCTTCAACCAAAGGAAAGAGCCAGGAGAAAGGCACAGATGTCTCAAAGCTGCACATTTCCAGGATGCCAAGTGACCTGCAAACTGCAGCAACACCGCAAGGGGGTAAAAGTGCCACTGTCCCTAACCCTGTGTCACACGGGGTTGTTATCCCAGGCACCCTTGGAGAGAGGTTCCTCCAAGCCTGTTACAGTCTCCACTCAGGGGTCAGCCCCATTTGGTCTCCTTTAGCTGGGGCAGCTCTTCTAGAGAGCTGCCATGGAAGGGTAAAGCACAAAAAGCAGCGCATTTAGAAGACCTTGGGCAATCTCCAGCCACTCCACAAGTGCAAACTGGGCCAAAAGGGAACGTTATAAATATTTTAATGCCATAACTTGGGATGGCTGCACTACTTCTGTGTAATGAAAAAAATGAAGAATCGGGTATTATTAACAGCTGGCTAAAAATCACTTTGAATTCTGGATAATTGCTCTATTTTTTCTTCATCAAATGCAGAAAATCCTCCAGGAGCTTAACCTTTCTCCGATTAACAGATCATTAGGCTGGGCTTTCACAAAGCATTTCAATAGAAAAAGCCATTGTCGTACCAGAGTGAATCTTAATAAAGTAGAACTGTATTTAAAAGATATTCTCCTTTCTCCTTCTCCCCCTCTGCCTGGTGCAGAGATGCAGACTCACTGCCCTTGTGCCACCGACCTCACGGAGCAGGAAAAAGTCAAAAAAAAGAAAAAAAGAAGAAAAAAGAAATCTATATATATAAAACCAATAAGAAACTGTAATAAATCACCAGCCTCCGAGTATGCAGATGTGAAAACCAGGGCAGGGCTCCCAATTAACTATCACCCTATTGCATGGAACAGGGAGCAGGAAGCTGGATTCTTTCAGGTTTCTTCACCCAAGAAGGGCAAGCACCATGCTGGGGGCTGTAGATATGGGGACACTGAGATTTGTCTTCTCCTGCAATTGACTTAATATAGTTTTCAACAGACATTAAAGGTTTTTGTGGGGCCATCACCTTGCGAAGAGGGAGACAGAGGATTTGAAAATACAGACAGTACCTGGGAGGCTACAAACACTGGTGGAGCRCATGAGACCTTTTTTCTTCTTCTTTTTTACTGGGCTAAGTTTTAAAGTCATTCAAATGTACATGGCACTTCATTCTGTGGCATACCAGTGCAAAACCTGAGGCACGTTAAAATATCTTTGGTCATTTAAAGCAATTGGAAAGGCTTTCCAGTGGCAGTTAGTGAATTAAGGGTTAGAATATGGGGCTCATAAAGAACATCGTTGCCTGCCATTTGGTAAGAGGGACAGCTCAATAATTCCTGGGTTTGCAAACACTCCACACTAGTTATTCCACTTGAGGAATTTTGCCTTGGCAGGGATTTTGCTCAGCAGGAGCAGTGGAAATGCACGTGCACACCGAGATCCGCCCGCGGGCTGAGGGGTTTCTAGGTGGTGGGTACGGCCCGGCATGCCGGAGGCTTTCGTAACTCTGGGAAGGCAACCAGGAGAACGGGAAAGAAGAGTCTGTTCTCCCCTCGTCCCATCGTTGGCCACGTCAGCCTCGTACCTCCTTTCGCACTCTGCCTTGCRCACGCATGGCGTGCCAGCACGGAGGGGGATGGATGCCGTGGATCCCGGGCTGCGCACGGAGCGGGCAGCACATCCCGTGCTCCCGAAACGCCCCGGCTTAGCTGAGAGAAGGGAGAGGGAATTCAGAGACCAAGCAAATGCACAACAGATGAAATCTGTTGATAAAGCGAAGAAACGCAGCTCTAGGAATAACGATCTCAACTAATCACAGATATTGCTCGGCTCCGCGCTACCCATAAATCCTGAGGAACGCCTGGAGCGTCGGTGCAAACAGCTTGCTGCGCCTCTGCTCCAGCAACCGCRCCAGCGCCCAAGCCAGCAGCATCCCCGGCGCTGGAGCAGCCCACCGGAGAACGCCGAGGGAAGGCGTTGGGAAAGACCTGGCAAGAAGCAGCCGGCAGCCTGGGGAGGGCTTGGTAGGGAGGGARCAGAAAGGGTG